AATCTAAGTAACATATAACAATGAAAATAAAATCAGGATAACTTGATCCTGATGCTGATCTTTTCTTAATGAACACAAGGCCTGGAGGCGTGCTGCTTTAAAGGTTATTCTTTATTTAACAGGCGGCCATCTCATTCAGTAGACGTAAACAATTTTAAACAAGAGGGCCATGATGGCCCTGAGTCGCTCACCAGAAACAACTGCTTATCAGTGTTGGAATGTCAATATATTCTTTTAAATTTGAGCATAGAATATGTTTAAACAATAATTTGAAAAATGCCATGACCATAGGCATTTAAGCTTTAGCTTAAAGGGGGCCAATCAAAATAATATGAGCAAACTTGATAAAAGACTACCTAAGAATGCTACTAAGTTTAGTGATCATCTCTCAATTATTTCAGTAGGAAATGATGTTCGGAGGCTTTTTTCTATTTTTAGCTTTAGTGGCCCCTAAAAGGGGCCAATAAATTTAATATATGCAAACTTGATAAAAGAGTACCCAAGAATGCTACAGACAAAGTTTGGTGATCATCCATTAATTAGTTCTGTAAACGTATTTCTATTTGTAATTTCAGCGGCCCATAAAAGGGGCTAATCAAATTAATATGAGCAAAATAAATAAAAGACTACCCAATAATGCTACAGACAATGTTTGGTAATCATCCATCAATTAGTTCTGTAGCAATAGACGTTTAAATGTATATCTATTTTTAATTTAAGCGGCCCCTAAAAGGGGCCAATCAAATTAATATGAGCAAACTTGATAAAAGACTACCCAAGAATGCTACAGATAAAGTTTGTTGATCTTCCATCAATTAGTTGTGTAGAAATAGACATTTAAAGGTATTTCTATTTTTAGCTTTCGCGTCCCCTGAAAGGGGCCAATCAAAATAATATTAGCAAAGTTGATAAAAGATCTCATAAAAATGCTACAGACAAAGTTTGGTGATCATCCATCAATTAGTTCCCTAGAAATAGACATTTAAAGGTTTTTTTTCTATTTTTGTATTTTCTGATCGTAAGATCAGTAAATACATAGCTAACATCCACGGTCTAGCACAAAATTTCCTAACAGTCCTAACAACGCAAAGTAGTTCTCACTCAAAACTGCTTAAAAACCAGCAATTTAAAAGAAAGAATAATTTTAAATGTAGGCGTTTAACGAATTACAGTGCATTAAAAGTTTAGATTACTCAATAGAAATATGAGGTTACAATCACAAATTTCGCGGATGAATATCTTTTTTACCCAATGAAAAATGTTCGGCTATTTCCGTAAAGCTTCGGATTATCATGAATATCATTTTAATCAATGAAAATGCTATTTTTAGCTATGCCGATTACCGAATACTCCAGAGCGTAGTACACAAATAAATCTGACTGTCGAGTAGTGGGAGAAGATTTTCGATAAATTATTTTCATCAGTGTTAAACAACACGTTTATCGTGAACAAAATACCTCGAAATTAATAAGGATTACAAACACGAAATTTAGAATTACATAATGTATTCGTTTTTATTCAAGGTTCATATGTATAACTTCGCCGTGGTGCAGAGGTAATCGGTCTCGTTGAGGGTGTGAGAGGCCTATGGTTCAAATCCTAGTTGAGGCAATTCTATTTTTTTTTTCATGCAAAATTCCATATGTAAATCTCAAACTGTTATATAGAAGAAAATCAAAACGCTGTCGCTGCGTAAGATGAATTATAGTATATAAAAATAAACTTATACAGGAAAGTACATACAGATAGCCAGTATGATTTAGATTGCAAAGATCGGAAAATACCATAGAGCTGCAGCCCTTTGATTAGATTTTGCGGCCTCTAAAAGGGCCAATCAAATTAATATGAACAAACTTGATAAAACACTTCCCGAGAATGCTAGAGACAAAGTTTGGTGCTCATCCATCAATTAGTTCTGTAGGAGAAGATATTTAAAGGTTTTTCTATTTTTAGCCCTAGAGACCCCTAAAAGGGGCCAATCAAAATGATATTAGCAAACTTGATAATGATAAAAGACTGCCTAAGAATGCTACAGACAAAGTTTTGTTATCATCCATCAATAAGTTCTCTAGAAAAAAAACATTTAAATGTATTTCTATTTTTAGCTTTAGCGGCCCCTTAACCCTTTACCACATATATACGCGAAACAACGCACTTTCGACCCCCCCCTTCTTTTAGGTCTCAAATAGTGAAAATGTCCTATTTGGGCCACAAACATAAGTTTTCGTTTGAGAAATGTTGCTAAACAAATTGAGCACTTTTTCGGCGCCGCCACCCATCCAAAAGATACATCAGGGGGTTGCCAGAAGGGGGATGTGCCCCCTTCTGTTAGGGGTTTTGAAGGGGGCGTAGTCCCCCTCATCGCCAAGAAAATTTTGTACTTGTGAGAGGCTAAAAATGACCCCAGGTCGATGATAATGTCACGTTTAACCAACGCTGAAAAGCCTTTGACTCTATCTCAATCCCTAGAGAAGTTGCAGCACTTTGAAATAAATTTTGATGGAAAAAATCGAGGCAAAATAGTGATTTTTGGCAATTTTGAGCTGTCCCCTCGTTGCCATGGTAACAGGAAATTTAAGACTGAGCATGTCGTTACAAAGGCAATGGTCCAGTCAACATTTGTGCCAAGTTTGGTTAGTATTGAAGCATTTTTCATAGTTTCATAGCAGTTTGAACTTGTAACAGGAAGCTCTTCAGTGAAAACGGCCATTTTCACAATATGCTCATGGGGGAAAGGGATAACTAAAAAAAATATAAATGTTACAAAACAACAATTTTTCACCAAAATAAGGTGAAAGACCACATGTTAACATGGAAAAACTAGTTTTTAGGTGATTCCAAAGTTTTTCATCATTTTTTGTTAACCCTTTACCACATATATACGCGAAACAGCGCACTTTCGACCCCCCCCCTTTTTTTAGGTCTCAAATAGTGAAAAAATGTCCTATTTGGGCCACAAACATAAGTTTTCGTTTGAGAAATGTTGCTCAAAAAATTGAGCACTTTTTCGGCGCCGCCACCCATCCAAAAGATACATCAGGGGGTTGCCAGAAGGGGGATGTGCCCCCTTCTGTTAGGGGGATTTGAGTCCCCCTCATCGCCAAGAAAATTTTGTACTTGTGAGAGGCTAAAAATGACCCCAGGTCGATGATAATGTAACTTTTAACCAACGCTGAAAAGCCTTTGACTGTATCTCAATCCCTAGAGAAGTTGCAGCACTTTGAAATAAATTTTGATGGAAAAAATCGAGGCAAAATAGTGATTTTTGGCAATTTTGAGATGTCCCCTCGTTGCCATGGTAACAGGAAATTTAAGACTGAGCATGTCGTTACAAAGGCAATGGTCCAGTCAACATTTGTGCCAAGTTTGATTAGTATTGAAGCATTTTTCATAGTTTCATAGCAGTTTGAACTTGTAACAGGAAGCTCTTCAGTGAAAACGGCCATTTTTCACAATATGCTAATGGGGGAAAGGGTTAAAGGGGCCAATCAGATTAATATGAGCAAACTTGATTAAACACAACCCAAGAATGCTAGAGACAAAGTTTGGTGATCATCCATCAATAAGTTCTGTAGGAGAATATGTTTAAAGGTTTTTTCTATTTTTAGCTCAAGAGACCCCTAAAAGGGGCCAATCAAAATAATATTAGCAAACTTGAAAAAGACTACCTAAGAATGCTACAGACAAAGTTTTGTGATTTTTCATTAATTAGTTCTGTAGAAATAGACGTTTAATTTTTTTTCTATTTTTAGCTTTAGCGGTCCCTAAAAGGGGCCAATCAAATTAATATGAGCCAGCTTGATTGCTACAGACAAAGTTTGGTGATCATCCATCCATTGGGTCTGTAGAAGAAGATGTTTAAAGGTTTTTTCTATTTTTAGCCCTAGAGACCCCTAAAAGGGGCCAATCAAATTAATATGAGCAAACTTGATAAAAGACTACCCAAGAATGCTACAGACAAAGTTTGGTGATCATCGATCCATAAGTTTTGTAGAAAAAGTTGTTTAAATGTTTTTCTATTTTTAGCTCTGCTGACCCCTAAAAGGGGCCAATTAAAATGATATGAGCAAATTCAAGTGTAACTGTCACAAGAATGCTACAGACCAAATTTGAAGTAAATCGGCTTAGTAGTTTCAGAGAAAAAGACGATTGTTGACGCATAACGACGGACGATGGACACCGGAGCATCCCCCTTTGATATCAATAGCTCACCCTGAGCCTTCGGCTCTGGTGAGCTAAAAATAGCCACTTAAAAGCATTACTGAATGAATGACATCAAAGAGAAAGAACAGTTACCTATCGTCCCTCTAGCCACATTATTACTGTCCTGTGAGTGCGGACGGACAGACAGACGGACGGAGGGTAAACCTAAAGTCCGGTCCGGTAAACCGGTAGGGGCCTAACAATTGGCATATCAATATAAAAGTTCTGATGCATTTTGGGACATTTCTTATTATTTGAATACACCAATTTACCAGTTTGCATAGAAATTGGAACCTAGAAAACAAACTTATTGTGCGTGCTCTGTTGAGCCGTATTTTACATGTATTGAAAATACAAAACCGTCTTTTAAAATAAACATTTTGTAAGTGTAAATTTTTTTGAAAATTAGGAGGGTAAAAAAACTTTTTTTAAAATGTTCTTAAAAAAAAAATTTAAATAACCTTTATAAAAAATGGGGGGAAAGAGGGAGAAATGTTTTTTCATTTTTAAAATCATAATGTTTATGCTTTTTAAATGGCAATCTTTTTTTTTAAATAATTAGAAAGGAGGGGGTAAAAATTTAAAAAAGGAAAAAAAAATATGAAGACATTAAAAGGCCCTTTTTCAATAAAATGTTTTCTTTTATTTCTTTCTATTTAAATAATTCAAAATCATTATTTAAAAAACAGCTTGAAAAAATTTTCAAAAACAAACATTGTTTTAAAAAATATTCTGTTATTTCATACCATAATTTTTTTAAAATTTATTTTATTATAACATAAATAACATTTACTTACTTGTTTTCGACTCTTCATATTGAGACTGTCGCATTGATTCTGTCTCTGCTGTGACATCTGCATTATGACAGTGTAATTGAGTGAATATTAATATCAGCAATAAGTAGTTTAACTTAGAAAAAAAAAAGATTTACATTATCTGCATTTAAATTAATTTATATTTCACATGACAGGTTTGGTTACTTTAAAACAAAACAAAATTAAATTGAAAATTGCGAAGATGTGAGATTTGATTAATCATTATATTTATTACAAAAACAAAATTTCGTTCTTAAGAATAAGCAAAATCAAAAGTTCAATAAAGTTAAAAATTAATATTAAGTCGCATGATTGCATTATAATGATAAATAATGAGAATGTTGTTGAACATTATAGTGATTTAGATAAGAAATTTAGTATGACTGAATAATAATTATACATTTAAATAGTGAAGTGTCACAAAAGTCGTGTGCGACGTACCTTTTCTAGTTTCTTCCTTTAATTCCTGTATTTGTTTAGTATGGTCATGTATTTGTTTATCATGTTCAGACGTTTTCTTGTTTAATTCATCAATACTCTGTGCATGCTTTCTCACAGTTTGACTTTGCACATTCAGAGTACATTTTATCTTTTCGTCCTCCATTTTCATCAATTTTAAATCAGCTTCTACCCCCTTTTCTAACATTTGCCAGCTGTCTATGGCCTTCTGAACCCTTCTCTCCGCCTCCGGATCGAGTGGATTAACTTTAAAGTCATCAATCATCTGTTGTAGGTGTGGTATGGGAGACACCGCCGAGTTCAACCTCAAAAGAACCTGGAAAATCATGAAATGCGTCACGATTTCATGCTAAAACTCGCCATGCTAAAACTCACATTAAAACATATTTCTTTAAACCCAACCAAACAATACACTGTTTACAGTGTCTATTCTAGGATTCGAGAAATATGGGTGATTTTATCCAAAACTGAGAATTTATTACATTTGTTGATTTTTTCCCTTCTTTCTCTATGTAAACATTTCCCACTGCCTCTGAAAAAATAGGGGGAATTCTCAAAAATATGAGTGAATCCCCCCATCCGCCCTCCTAGAATAGACACTGGTTTATGAATGTATTGTATACTTGAACAGATATCATATTTATTTTTACCATTGTTAATGTATATTCTGCTAGATATTATATTCCATGGTATGCTCTTTATTTTATAACTTTGCTTACTTTGCTTTGAGCTCCGCTATGCTTGGTAGTTTCATTCCTGTTATGTTCCTTGCTATGAAGGATGTCCGTGTACGAGCAGAGATTAAATGATAGAATTATTAATTTTATTGCTATCTACTGTTTTACACCGGTACTTACCCCCCCCCCCACCCCGCATTAACTTCCAATACATACGTAAGTTAAGTCGCGTGCTTTAAAGATATGCTATTCTCAAATTTTATATTTGGAAACACTGATCATAACTATACAGTCTCTCTTTTGAAATGTAGAATAAACATCTTGGACATACACAGAGGCAATACGTCATGTTTAAAACTCTAGACACAGTATGATTACATAATGTCATTTAAACATAAATGTCAGTTTTTTATTAGGACTGACCAAATTTATTTGACTAGTTACAGGAAATGCAGCTCTCCAAACATAGTTTAAACATTCATTTATTCAAATTATACATATTCAGAAAGTCTTTAATAGATTTTAAAGAATTTCTGAAAGTGAAAGTATTTTGCCCAAAGATGAGCATAGTATATATTTAAGTTAACATTTTTAATCCTTTCCCTTATGAGCATATTGTGAAAAATGGCCGTTTTCATTGAAAAGCCTACTGTTACAAGTTCAAACTGCTATTAAACTATGAAAAATGCTTCAATACTAATCAATCTTTGCACAGATGTTAAGTGGACCAATTTTCTTTGTAACGAACATGTTTTCATTCTTAAATTTCCTGTTACCATCGAGGGGAGGTTTCAAAATTGCCAAAAATCACTATTTTACCTTGATTTTTTCCATCAAAATTTTTTTCAAAGTGCTGCAACTTCTCAGGGATTGAGATAGAGTCAAAGATAGAGTCAAAGGCTTTTCAGCGTTGGTTACACGTTACATTATGATCGACCTTGGGTCATTTTAGCCTCTCAAAAGTCCAAAATTTTCTTGGCGATAAGCTGGACTACCGCCCCCTTCACCCCCCCCAAACAGAACGGGGCACTTCCCCCTTCTGGCAAACCCCCTGATGTATCTTTTTGATGGGGGCGGCGCCGAAAAAGTGCTCACTTTTTCAGCGACATTTCTCAAGCGAAAACATGTTACTGGGACCCAAATAGGACATTTTTTCACTATTTGAGACCCAAAAGAGGGGAGGGGGGTTCGAAAGTGCGTTGTTTCGCGTATATGTGAGGTACAGGGTTAACTTGCTCTTAATTCATTATTCAAAAATTGTTAAACATACGTTTGACATTTCTAAAGAATGGATTTCTTAGGCATAATGTGCCTCAAGGAATAATGCATAAACATAACCTACTATGAACTGAATTGAAAGGAAAAAATAGATTAATTTATTAGTAAAATAAAATTCCATCCTTACCTGTTCGATCTCCGTCCACTTTGTTGTAAAGACAGGCAGTGTTATTCCACTTGTTGAAGATATGTGACTGAGCTAAAAAAGTAAGAGAATGTTAGATATGTATTAATATAAAATGAAAAGTTGCAAGGGATGACAAAAAAATAAATAAAATATGATAGTTGCATACAAGACAATTGGCTAAATATAAAATTATGAAGCCAGTCTTTTATATCATGGATATGTTTCGTAGTTTAATTTTATGTATTAAATGAAGACGTTTCTTACTTTTAGATATCATGAAACTGAAGATAATACTAAATTAGTAGAATCATTAAGTTATACAGAATAAAAAACAAAATTATTATCTTTCTTAGGATTTATAGTTCTATACTCGAAAAGCTATTTCAGCAAAAATTCTTTTTTATACGTAATAATTTACACTTGACGTCAAATAGATTATTTTTATTCACAACTAGATATCACAAGAACTCAAACCATTAAAACTTAACTAAGGATCTCATTTCTCATTTACCTCGTTCCTGTACATTTTCAGACGGGAAATATCAGCCTCAACTGAGGTATCACCTTGTGCAGGAATTGAGTTCCATTGAAAGTTCTTGTTTAGCCCGAATGACTTGATGTTTCTAAGGAGACATATGATTAACGTGATGTCTAGGTCTGTTGTAGCTGGACCGCTGCCACCTGATGGAAACAGTAGATCATATTGTACCTGCGTAATTATCCCGCGTGTTCTTAAGTTTGTAATTGTTTGTCTTTCATTCTTCAAAAATGCGACAAGAGGGACATTTTGCATTTTTTGATTGAACATATTCCTAAGTATAAGTAGTCCTCCGTCTATAATCAGCATTTGCAGACGAAAAAGACGACAACTATTCTGCTGCGCCTTTGAAGACATTATTTGACTTGGGGTTGCCATTTTTTCTTTTTGTTATCAGACCATCATTTCTGTAATTACATAAATAAATTCATGATCATTAAAACAACATGATTCGTGATTTTGTTACCTTACCCAAAGAATAAATCAACTGCCAATAAAAAACTTACTGCTTTTTCTCAGACAAAGGCAACAATTATAAACAAATGTACTGATACTTTCCGTCCTTACTATGTTTTCAATATAAATTTATTAAGCAAGGATGTAAACCCGTCTGCACAATTAAGTCAGTCTGATATTTAAGGGATTTTTTTTAAATAATAATTTACAAAAGATATATGATACTTGCTTTTATTTTTATTACTTCTACTACTGTAAAGTGTGGAATAAAATACAGCAGCGGAATTGGTCTCCCTTATATTGTCTTGTTAAAATCGAAATAATATCGGTCTCTGCGGTTTTGATGACGACAAATCTCCAAACTGGTATTAAATTGTTGATATATACCGCTCAGACATTTTATGTGTTTAAATAAAAGTCAGAACGACATTTATAATACTCCCCTTCTTTCTGTGTTTACATATTTATCTTACAAAAATACAAAGGAAACTGCTATAGGGAATAACTACGAACAATGTATGCATATTGACACTCATAAGAAGGGCTTATAATGTACCTTTATAAATATTACCAATTTACCATAAAGTAATTTAAATTTGTAAACTTAAACAAGATATGTTTGTAAAACATGTATGCCCCCTATCGGTAGCCAATTAGTCAAGGTTATTATGCATGACTTCTGACCCAGTGAAAAAACAATTAAATAAGGGTTAACTACTTGGTTGACTACAAGGTAGTAATTATTGTACACCATATGCAGCAATTTAAAAGTACAAATCTTACCAAATAATATATGCATACATTTTATGAATTATGAAGGCCCCTATACAGACCTTCAAAATGTGTAAGTACCAAAATGGCATTTTTAGGCATTTTTAGGTTTTTAGTTATTGTCAGAACCGTCATTATAGTACAAGGTCAATATGACAGACGCCCAAAAAATCAATGGTCATGACCAATCATCAATCATAAGTGATACCAAGGAAGTTTTAGCGTTCTTTAGTTATTGATCAGAAACCGTTTTTAAGTACAAGGTCAATGTGACCTTTGATTGACCCTTGACCCCAAAATTCAATAGGGGGGGGGGGGTCATCTACTGGTCATGACCAATCACAATACCAAGTTTGATGTTCCTAGGCCTAAACGTTCTTTAGTTATTGATCGGGGAAGCCGTTTTTACCTACAAGGTCAATGTGACTTTGACCTTTGACCCCTTGACCCCAAATGCATATAGGGGTCATCTGCTGGGCATGACTAATCACCAATACCAAGTTTGAAGTTCCTAGGCCCAAGCGTTCTTTAGTTATTGATCGGAAACCGTTTTACCTACAAGTTATTTGACTCTTGACCCCAAAATCCAATAAGGTCATTCCCTGGTCATGACCAATCCCATTACCAAGTTTGAAAGCTCCTATGCCTAAGCGTTCTTTAGTTATCACTCGGAAACATTTGGTTACGACCGAAAGACCGACAAATGCAAAAGCAATATACCCCTCTTCTTTGAAGTGGGGGCATACCAATTGATGAAACTGGTTTAGGGAAAACACAATATATGTTTCAAAAGGCTATCATGGACAGAATTTTACATATCAAAGTTATTCAGACACTAAACTAAGTAAAATTTTCCTTTTTAAAAAAGTGTACAGTGGACAATTTGAAATTATTAGTTCATAATTTTACTGTTTGAAGTAAGGTCAAGATCTATTTTTTTTTTAAATTTCAATATCTTGCTCTTTTAATTTCAATGCAATAAATAGTTTGGCTTTTTGTTTTGCTATTCTATAATTTTCAATTCATTAAGCTTATATTTTATCATTTCAAAACTCCTAGTTAATTTTGTTCACTAATTTTTAAGTTATGGCCCAATTTACATGTGTAGATTTTGTAACACAAATTAGATTATGTTCAGGATTATGTGGGTGGCAAAGACTAGAAACAAGCCAAGTCCTGATGACAGCGCCCTCAAACAAGGCTATTTTACTCGTTTGGGATAGAACTTACTCCAGGAAAAGAAATGAAGTTTGATATTTTAAAATTAAAAGTATAAAACAATGAGATCCTTTTCTATTTAAAACTAATTGAGTTTGTTGATTTTTAAATTAATTATGATCATAGTAAAAAATGATATAAACCACTGAGATTTGGGTCCTTTTTTTCTCTCTTTTCGCTAAATATTCACTTATAAGGAAACTCATTTCTAAGTCCCAATCTAGTTAAAAGTACAGAAAAATTACACTTTTTATGACAAACTTTCAAAATATCGGCTATCCGTAAAAGATCCAGCTTTTTCATCTTTCTTTTCATTGGCACGGATAAAAACCCTGCCGAATATCTCGTTTTTTTGAAAAAAAAATTTATCTTATATCAAACATAGTTTTCATCTAGAAAGATATAATAATGTTTAGAAGACCGGCACTGACCGTGCACCAGTAAAAAGGATACTATTCGCCGGTCTCTCGTAAATTCCGGTCCAAATAGCCTGGGAGAGACCGGAAAGACCGAAAGCGACAGGACCGGAGAATAGTACATTCCCCGTTTATTGTTGAATGTATTTAAAAGACAAATGTGAAAATGAATTGGATATGCAGTATGTTATAGTTTTCTATAGCACGAGTTCTAGTCACCAAAGATAAAACAATTATTCCCTTTATTCTTTTTTTTTTTTCTTTAATAGTTTTTGCACGAGTAAAATAAATTATGATCATTTATAATCGGTTTTCAACATAATTATGCATGCTATTCCTTGCTAAAGCATTGAAAACTACTAAGTACGCTTGATTGAAATGTAAAAGAAATCTATATCTTTCATAAGTAAAAGTCACCCTTAAAATATAATAGAAGATATTCAATATAAGAGGAAAAAAAAAATATCTTGTTTATTCTTAATCATTAGAAGAAAACTGAAAGCACTGACTTTAGAAACAAAAAATGATATTTTATGAGAAATTGATAAAGGGAGTAAAACTAAAACTGAAATAGCAAAGGATTTTAAAATTCCTAAAAGTACGCTCTCGGGTATTGTGTCTAAAAATAAATAAATGACTTATTCTTCTTAAACAAATGTTCTTCAAAATGGAGGACGATGGTCAACAATCAGTTCGTTATGTGTGTTAATTTTTTTGCCATTAAAAACTCCTGATACAACGAACTGATTCGCTATATAAGGAACAGATTTTGATTGTCCCAATGAGTTCGTTATAAGCGAAGTTTTATGTATTCCTGCCAAATAAAACCTGTATAGGCATAAAACATCAATAAAAATAATGCTACTTAGCAAATGTGTAGAAATATATTGTCACCTTTAACCTTGACCCATGACCCTACTCGATCGAAATATAGTATATCATGCAAGTAAAATTCCTAGCGCCACGTATCAGTTGTTTAGGGAAAGAAAAGACCACGCCGCTTTATACCATAATCAAAAATGAAAAAATCAGTCAAAAAAGTAAAATAAAGGCTATATATTTAATCAAATGTTTCTGTGGAAAATTTCTATTATGCCCCCTTCACTTTGACCCACTGACAATACCTTAATTAAAAAAGGTAGGAATACAGACCGCAAAGTTATATCTTTTAACCAAAATATCAAGTACATCTGTCAATAAAAAATTTAAAAATAACGGCTATATATGATTAAAAGTTGTAAAAATCTAGTTTAAGCACTTGTGACCCTGAACCCCAACTAACCCCTAACTTCATCGGAGGAAGAATACGTTTGATTTTTCTGTTTCTTATTGTTGAATGTATTTCCTTTATGTATCAACTGAGGAAGCTGAATAAAGCGAAACATGTTTTTGATACTTAATTTGTGTTGGTTTTTGATCCAATTGTCCTATGAATATATAAGACATATGTCAAAAGGTTAAAACACCTGAAAAAGTCTGTAAATCTATTTTGACATTGGTGACCTTGACCTGGACCAAATGACCCCTTCCTAATCCAAAAGAAGAGGTTTTACCTTAGTATCTTTAGACATAAAATGAAAATAAAGACTGTATGAGAAAAAAAAGTTTGAATGTATTTAATACACCAGTGTCCTTGACCTTGAACCCTAGAGACACTTTTTCACAAATATTAGAGGACAATTAAAGGTATTTCCCTACCAAATATGAAAGATATCATTAAATAAATGAAGTAATTGGAGAAATTCAAAATAGATTTGACTAGCCGGAATAGGTTTTACAATACACGGCCCTAATTTCAAGTGATAATTGGGGAATAACCTGGATAAATGGGTGGCACGGTAATATAACATGGCGAATATCATGAACATTGAACTAATAGGTAAGTGTGGAGATTATGAAGCCATTAGTATAGATAGAGCTGAAGATATATCCAATTTTCCGGTTTAGATTAACCATATCAATTTTCAAAGTGCTGAAAGGGCAATAATTTTGAAAATATTGAAGCCATACCTGTACTTCATATTGATTTGTAAGTGTTTAATAATGAAGCCATTGGTACAGATAGAAAAATCTACTTTGCCGCTTTAGGTTAACCTCGCACACGGACAAACGGACAGACGAACGGACGTTTCAATGACTATATGCCCAGGGTCATAAAAATAATTAACTAAATACTAGTAAATAAATTGATAAAATAACCAAGATAAATACCTTTAAATAATATTACGCACTTGTTTACATTAATATGTTCCTTTCAGTCGAGTGAATATTTCATTTTGTAATTTAGTTTGTTTACGATTTACATAAAAGCCCATTGCAAACTGTCTTGATTCTTTTATTGTTTTACGAGCTACTCAAACTTCTGAGCCTTTTCAGCTGAAGTATTTGAAGGCTATTGAAAATATGTTGAAATGTTGTCAAACAAAGTTAATTCTAAACGCTGACAAAGTACAAATTAGTCCATCTTAAATATGCTACACTGTAGTAGAGATTGAATGTAAGATACGGGTTATTTAT